CGGCGCTATACCTGAGCGATGTCCATGACGGAGTCGCAGCTGAGGGGTCGCGCGGAGGTGAGGTCGTTGAAACCCAGGAGGGTGGAGATGATGCCGTTCTGGTCCACCCGGCGAATCATGGTGCCGTCCACAAAGAAGACGATGCCGTACTTATCCACCGTGATGCCTTCAAAAAAAAAAAATGTCATCAGCAGAGAACACAATAACCTTGATGTGTTGCATTACAATTTCTGATGGAAAGAGCAGACCTCCGCCAAGACCTGATTATCTCGTGCATTATTATTATTATTATTATTATTAATTTCATAAATCAATCATACACAATGCAATTTGATTGATTGATATAGTGCTTTTCACAACTGCTGCAGCTGTAACAAATCGGTGCATTTAAATGTCATGATCATTTTGTTGTGACATTTCAATTTTTTTTTTTATTACTTTTTGAGTTCCTGGGTTCTGTCAAATATGCTATGATTTTTATATTATTATTATTATTATTATATTACAAATGGCCGTCTAAATTTGTCATCCAATTTTAGCTCGGGGGGGATGACGCCGGGGAGCACAAGGAAATAATTAAAATAATGAAATATGATAATAATTTACACCGATGATGCTAACATACAGTTGGTGAAAAAATACAAATACGACTGATGCGCCGTTTCACCGTCTGTTTTTCTTTTAAAATAGGCAAAAATCGGCCATTTTTTTTAAACACCTCTTAAGACAAAGATTTGACATTCCACCGCCCCCACCCAAAAAAAATTTGACAGATTGTTGCCAATTTTTGTCTCTATTGTAGTTTTCTTTTTTTTTTTTTTTTTTTAAATTCCTGACTTAATCGACCAAATAATCTGTTATTGGAACAAACAGTGGAATCGGCATCCACCTGACAAAAAAAAAAAATCCGTCATCATCATCATCATCATCATCGATATATCCCTAATTTCAACAATTTTTTTTCTCTTTTACCTGTCAGGCTTTATTTCTCCTGCAACTGTTTTTTTTTTTTTTTTTTTTGTAGCGCACTGATTATTATGCTCTTTTAGGTTTGCTTTTAATGAATGTATCGACATCTCTTCCTTCTTCTTCCCGTAACAGACGCTGAGAAATACGCAGCCGACGTTCGCGTCTACCTTTGATTTGCGTGCCTGATTTCTTCTGTGTAGTCACAGCCTGTCACAATATTTCAGCGTTGGCGACAAAATGTGTTGTTTTCAAAGAAAACCTTTGTGTGTGTGTGTGTGTGTGTGTGTGTGTGTGTGTGTGTGATTTAATTTTTTTTTTTTTAACACTTCTTCTCTGCCAGCAAGATTTCAGCACGTATGAATCACACTGTCACGCTGGCGGAGAACAAAAGGTGCGCAAGCGTGTGATCAAATGACTTAACGCCTCGTCCAAATATAGAGAACCGGGTGGGGTGGTGGTGGGGGGATGACGCCGGGGAGCACAAGGAAATAATCAAAATAGTGAAATATGATAATAATTTACACCAATGATGCTAACATACAGTTGGTGAAAAAAAAATACGACTGATGCGCCGTTTCACCGTCTGTTTTTGTAGGCTGCACACTAAAGAGGAAAAACGGGGGATGAATACAAATGCAGCATTTGATCATCCTCCAAATAATTGTTTCCATTTCATTTTTCAGGATTATTTGCGAAGTAGCTTCAGGATTTCTTTCTCTAAAGAAGATACTGGTGCACACTGTGATCTCATACAAAGGAGAATTGTTTTCAAAATGTAGTTAACGTTACAACTTAACACAAATTTGATTTAAAAATGAATTTAGCTTAGAAAATGTGTTTATTGATCAATTTAAGTTTGGCAATTCTTTTTGGGGTTACTTCATTGAAATATTAATTAATTAATTAGTGTCAAGTAACTTAAATGTATTATTATTTAAGAAATATTTTATGTATATTATTTATGCATTATATTTTATTTTACAATTTATATATGTTGATATCTTTAATTTAAATACGGCCATTTTTTGAGTGACGCTGTTCAAATGGCAATATGAAAAATAAGATGAAAATAAAGAATTTAAAACTTGGCTGACAGCACAACCTGCACAGCTCAACAGAAAAAAAAAAACATACAAACAAAATGATGTGGTTACACAAGTGTGCACACCCTTCTTAAAACTGGGGATGAGGCTGTGTTCGGAATCAACCAATCGCATTCAACCGGATCACGTTAAACGGGAGTCAGCACACGTGTCTGCGAGTAACCCGAAATAAGCTCCCCAGCTGTTCTAGTCGGCTTTTCCTGCCGATTTCAGCACGTATGAATCACACTGTCACGCTGGCGGAGAACAAAAGGTGCGCAAGCGTGTGATCAAATGACTTAACGCCTCGTCCAAATATAGAGAACCGGGTGGGGTGGTGGTGGGGGGATGACGCCGGGGAGCACAAGGAAATAATCAAAATAGTGAAATATGATAATAATTTACACCAATGATGCTAACATACAGTTGGTGAAAAAAAAATACGACTGATGCGCCGTTTCACCGTCTGTTTTTGTAGGCTGCACACTAAAGAGGAAAAACGGGGGATGAATACAAATGCAGCATTTGATCATCCTCCAAATAATTGTTTCCATTTCATTTTTCAGGATTATTTGCGAAGTAGCTTCAGGATTTCTTTCTCTAAAGAAGATACTGGTGCACACTGTGATCTCATACAAAGGAGAATTGTTTTCAAAATGTAGTTAACGTTACAACTTAATACAAATTTGATTTAAAAATGAATTTAGCTTAGAAAATGTGTTTATTGATCAATTTAAGTTTGGCAATTCTTTTTGGGGTTACTTCATTGAAATATTAATTAATTAATTAGTGTCAAGTAACTTAAATGTATTATTATTTAAGAAATATTTTATGTATATTATTTATGCATTATATTTTATTTTACAATTTATATATGTTGATATCTTTAATTTAAATACGGCCATTTTTTGAGTGACGCTGTTCAAATGGCAATATGAAAAATAAGATGAAAATAAAGAATTTAAAACTTGGCTGACAGCACAACCTGCACAGCTCAACAGAAAAAAAAAACATACAAACAAAATGATGTGGTTGCAAAAGTGCG